GAACCGTTTACACCCTGTCGTATCATCGCTGTCTTGTCACTTGTGCGTAGCAAATCACAGTTGGCTTTGTTGACCGTGCATTGACAGTGCACCCATCAACAGATACTTGTGACTCAATGCCTAAAAAGTGAGGATGGTGGACATTATCGTAGACACCTGTTGGAACTGGAATCGAATAGAGGACTACTTCCCGAGGATGCACTGCATTTGCAAATGTCGCATGCAGCGCAATCAGCTCTATCGCATACATGGCGAAGGCGATTTAATGTCTCAGTTCTGCTGTTTGTTTAATACCACTTCAACCCGACAAGTGACGATCATCGGCACGGTTGTCGATGAACAAGATCTCGGTTGTGTCTACTGCCCTCAATAGGTTGTCCTCCTTTGCGCAGTTGACGAAGAACCCTATCTGCAAATTGGACGTCTCGGAATTGCACACCGACCACTAGCTGGTTCTTGTTGACAACTATGCTGTAATAATGGGGGGGGCAACTTCTCCCACCAAAGGGGCACAAGAAATGTGTGCCCACTTAGCCGAGTCTTGGCTTGAGTTATGTCCACATGTTGAGCTCATGAGGTCCGTGACATCATCTGAAATGATTGCTGCTACTACCCATCTTACGTCCGGCCTCGATTGCTCGAGGCGAAGCATGATACGAGGCTGTATGACAGATTCGCACCAGCAAGATCGTTTGCGTTCCTTCGCTGATCGCCCATGTTTGTGTTGTCTGTCCACCTGCTTAGCAGCAGAGTGGCAAATGTGGGTGTGCAACCTATGGTCTCAGCCTCGTTTACGTTGTCGTAACTGAGTATCGCTTTAGCTTAGCTGAGAACGTCGACTGCCAATGCGCCATTCTAGATGGCTGTCGCCTTCATACGAATACTTGCGTTCTTTCGCGCTGGTGTTGAGTCATCAGCGTGAAAGAACGCAAGAGAGTCTTTTGTCCGTGAGTAGGCACATGTCATGCCATTTCTGCCTTCGGCTACGCAACCTGTGGAACACTCGTCTACTGTTCGACCGACGATATGCCTCAACGAACACGCAAATCTGTGCCTCCGTCTTTGCCACTTCGACACCGGGCCGACCTTGTCGTGTCCTGCTTGCTTCTCTTTGACCCTACTCGTTTCGGCGACGGCGCTAGTCCAGTCAATGACCAGCCGCCGCGTTCGCGACAGCACAAATGAATTCTGTCACGAACGCCATCGCCGGATCTTTTCCAGGCTTTCTCCCGCTTACCACTGGATTCCTCTTTGCCGCATTGCACCTGCTGTCGCCTGCAGGTAGTAAAGAGATCGTAAGGATACCAATGAAGGGGCGTTTTGCCTGGCGGTTGCATCGACACTGACGACTGGATCAGCGAGCACCGTGTACCACGGTACACGCCTGGCATTCCCAATTACAGTCGTGCTTCCCAAACCTTTGCGTGCTTCAGAGCTTCTGCTTGTGTTTCACGCTCGCAACTTAATCAGGGACAATGCGTTGTTACGAGGCTAGCTAACATGCATAGTACGTTCGAGTTAACGGCTCCTAGCACCCTCCCCTGAACAAGTGCTGTCGATTCGGGCCAGATTGGTCGCGCATCACGCTCGTATGTCTGTCGGGGCGAGCAGTCAGTGGGACGGTGACGAATGGTTAATTTCATACCATCAAACGTTTCCTGACCATCCCGCTGTTGCTGATCACCGGATGGATACATTAGCCGCTTTCTGGGGCCGCTTTCACTGGGATGGCAATCCTTGGATTCAAGGGCCAGACGGCAAGCCCCTAGAGCGGGCCAAATATGCCCGGATACCTCCATGTTCACTGCGCAGTCTGTGCATTCGGCGACTGGGGTCACATGAATTTCATTTTACGTTCCCGTCTCTCGGCGGTACTTCGTCTCGGCATTGCATTGTAAATTACAACGTTGGGCGACTTCGATCCTGCTCTCGTCACCCCACCTTGCTGTCGGTGCGGGACCGGTAGAGCCCGGGCTCGTCTTACGTCATCCACCGCCGTTTCGGCGCGCTTATAAATGGTCCCGGGTGCGAGCTGATTTAATTGTCGGGTCCTGTCGGGACCCTGTCGAGTCCGCGAACTCGGCGATTCGCCTCCGCCAAGATGTCAATGGAATCCATTGGTCGATTGACGGGAATTTACCAGAATTACGGGGGTCGCCTCAGCAAGTGTCTAACTACTGGGAGCATTCGTACCATCGTACCTTGGTGTTTCATGCCCACCCGGAGCTTCACCGTTTCCCTTGGAGTGTGCCAGAGACGGTGGCCAATGTAGATGTGTGGACAACGCTTATGAAGCAAGCGTTTCACGTTCATAAACGCCTTCTGCACCCTGGCCTCCAGTCCTGGTTGAAGGCCTATGACGCGCAGGCGGTATCGAATAGTTGGCAGTCAGCTGCATCAAATCAAACGCCTTCCCAAGTTTGGAAACACGCAAACGGGCTAACGGAGTATCAAGTCTGGACATGCTATCGTATCGCAACAAAGCAGCTAAATCTATACCATGCCGGTCGCACGCTGGACAACAGTTGTCGTACGGTGCTGCACTGCCGGGGACGCAAAGAGACTGCGGCGCACATTTTCTGGGAGTGCCCAATCGCGCAAGCGTGTTGGTGTCACTTGATAGGACACTGGACCGGTGGGGGTGCGACGAACGCAGTTCTTTCCACCTTCTTTCAGCACTGCGCCAATCGCAAAGCCCCGCCCATTCCACGTCAGCTGAGTTTGCGGTTGCAAAGCCGTTTTCAAGATGACTCTGACGCCGCAGCAACAGAATTCGAACGGATCTGGTCCATATTGAGCTCCATCTGCCAAGAACATTTGTGGACCGAGCGGAACTCGGCGGTCTTTAGAGGAGCCGTGACTACTCCATCCGCAAGTGTCCAAATGTACTGGACACGCGGTGTTCGCCAGCTACGGGCAATTGCAATACGCGAGCATCGAGCCGCGGCTACGGCCGTACGAGGGGCCCGACTTCATGCCTGTCTTGAACTTCTGATTCAAGAGCCCCGTGGACACCCGCCCTACGCGGGTGTCAGCCACGATCCGCTGCCGCGACCGGCGCTCATATCCTGGCTCAGGATTTTTCAGACCTCTTGTCCACATTAAATATGTCAATAGATGATCATGAAACTCCTCCTAGTACGTTCGAGTTTCGCTGGCGTCTCGTGGCCTCAATTGCTTACGTCTCCCAACTAGCGGCGATCTATCGACTCCAGGTCGCTCTTTTGACTGACCTTACGCTGTAGCTCATGCTTCATCTGCTGCCTTTAGTGCAGACCTCCACCGCATGCGCCTCTAGCGAGCACGGGAAAGTCACACGACGAGGTGCTCGGAGAAGCGTGTCCGCTTCTTGTCAGATTGGTACCAAACTTGTCTCCTCCGACTTTATCTGATCCGCGTGCGCATAGGCACAGTTTGCCCACGTTTTCTGCGGCCCATCTTCCGCGTTCCGCCTCGTTTTGATGGGTTCTTCGGGGGGCACGCAAGGAAGGTCGAAGATTGGCGCGAAATACTGTTTCGAAGCCTGGATCGCGGACCGCCATCGATCGGACCGCTCTTTCTGCTCTAGTGCCGAGCGACATCATTGTGACTGATGCACGCACGCTGGTGCTTCGCCCACCACTGACTCCCTTTTGTCTACGCTGGTACAGACCCGGCCCTCTTCGGGGGACGCACGGTGTATCTTTGGTCATGATCGACGTACCTTCCTCCCCTTTTCTGGAACAGTCGTGACGAAATCTCGTTCCGGTGTGAGAGTCACGCTGCAACGTGCAACAATCGTGTGCTAGGCTGCCGTCCATCCGCCGTGCCAGGTAGTAAACACCGCTCGACGGGCGACCAAATCGACTGGTCGGGGTCGAAAGTCTATGCGAAGACTTCATCATGGGGAGAGCTCTTTCGATTGAGCTCCATCCGTTTTGTCGGTTCCAGTCGTCTGGTTCCAGTCGACTTCGCGACCGTCACTTCATGTCATTTTCCCCGATTGTTGTAGCTCTTTGGGCATCTGGAGACGAACAACACACACCTGAAAGCGTATAGAGGCAAAGACAGTGAACGATCCATTCACTCGCGTTTTGCGGGGACGCAAGAACCGCTTACTATTGATTGTCAATAGCAGCGACGCCGATCAGCTAAGTAGCGGACGTGGGAGAAGGGCACTACTATTATCGACAAGAAGGCAGCACAATAAATCAGCCGGCCAGGGACATTAGAGAGCACCACCTTCCTGGAGGTGTTCTTGCTGAGGTATCACTCCCACGCTCGCTGAGGGTCATCTGCCTTTGATACGCTTTTCGTGCTGATGACTCAGCAAACAGAGCAATAGACTGGGGATGATAGAAGTAGAAGAACACTGCAAGGGATCCTGTTTTGTTCTGTGCAAACTGCTTCATTATAACTGGATTATCGATCACAAAACTACCCAAGTGCTGCAGACAAGCAAAAGACTTTGCAGTCGTCTGACGCCGCATTCTTGCAAGGTTTAACCAAAGTAGCTGCTCAATTTATCGCATTCGTAGTTGACACCACGTACAACTGGAAGCGTATAAGTGTTTTTGCCAGCATCATGTAATGACGACAAGCCACGGCAAGCAAAGGAAGGAAAGAGCTGCTGGTGAATATGTGAAACAGGTGAGTAGATAGCGTCCATCGTGCAGTACATCAAACTGATAGCATTCTTATTAGGTACACCGCGCAAGTTTGTGCTGGTTCCTCCCATGAGTGACGTACTCTATGAACATTGGCTCTCATGGCGCACACGGCAAGACGCGGCTGTTGTACGATGAGATGAAGCCATAACGCCATGCTGAACGAGTTCCTGTTTGGTATAACTCTGCAAGCTTCGGAGCAAAGACCAAATCCAGACATTGACAAACTCCGGCAGCCTGACAGTACCCGTAATGCTGCATTAGTCGGTCGACGCTAGCACACTCAGGTAAAGAGCGGAGCATGCCGTATCACGTTTTCGCCGCTTCCAATGGCCTGAACGGGCAAGCACTTCATTATACTTCCACTTCCAAGCGAAGCTTTGCATACAGCCCTTCGAGTTCGCGAGCGATTTCCTTCCTCTCATCAGAGTCCGACTCGGGTTGCGCTTTCAACTCGTGCTGCTTGTCCGTCAGTTCTAAAATTCGCTGGTACAGCTTCACAATAGTCGTCTTGGACAGATCGGTACGGCTTTTCGTGATCGAGGCGCCAAAGTTGTCCGTAACGACAATGCCACTGCCGCCCATGGCACTTTGGTCCTGGCCAATCGAGTCAATTGACAACCTGATGCTCTCTTCCGTAGGACGCAAGTCCTCTGGCCGGAGCAACGAACTCATGTGGAGAGCCAGCCCTTCAATAAAATTGTCCACCCCGTCCTCGTCGTCTACAACGCTCACCGTCCTTTGTACCGAATTGTTCACGCGCGCCTTACCTACAAACGGAGGGCTCGATTCACCAAGCAAAAGCGATGGGCGATCGTGCGAGCGCCCACTGCTGCGTGAACTTCGAAAAAACGATGGGAGCTCCAGATCAGTCGAAGTCGCAAAGCTCTCGCAGCTCAAACTTCGCCGGAGCTGAAGTACTGGCATCGTTGCCTCGGACGAATCTTCGGGGAACTCAAAGTCGAGCGACGGCATGGATTCGTCACGAAATCGAGCTTCTTGCTCTGCCCACTGTTGAACCTGCAGTTGCTCCAATTGCGTCAGCCGGAGCTCTGGACCGAGCGCTGGGGAAGCAAGTGCGACGTTCAAGTCAATGCTGGTAGCCCTGCCCTCGCTCTGCTCCCGGTGCTGCTGGACAGCGAGTTGCGCGGCATTCCTTTCGTCTTGAGTCACTGGACCAGGTTTGCCCATCTGCTTCGTGTGCTGTGCTAATAGACTCGACGTGAGGAACGACGGTCCATCCGAGCTCGCGAGGCTGTCGCTGAACTCGCTGTGGCTCATGTAATCCTCTGACCCTGCGTGGTAATGCTCCGAGTCCTGACCTTGTTGCTGCCGGCGGCGCATCAGCGCCTCCTGCTGCTGTTGCTGGCGCTGCAACAGTCTCTGCTTGTTTCGTTGCTGCTGCAGCGCGCGCTGTTGACGCTGCAGCGCTCGTCGCTGCTCTTCGTCGTGGAATTGAGGGGGCGACGCGCCGTACGTCTGATGGTCGTACATGTCGGGGTTCCTCGGGTCGTACCTCTGGTCGTCGCGCCTTCTCCGATGCGACAAAGTCTCGTCGGGCTCCCCACTGTCGTTCGTGTAGTGGCCCGAGTCGAGACTCAGTCGCGCGTCGTCTCCGCTCGGCAGCCCACCAGCCCCTCCCGTGTGCTCGGGGTCCGTGTCGTAGTAGCTTTCGTCCAAGCTGTGTCGCTTGTCGCCGTTGTGGCTGTACCGTCCGCCGCGTCGATGAGAGCGTCGACGCCGGTCGCCATCAAGTACGTCACTGTCGGAACTCGGCTCGCCCGCGCGCCGCACCGACGACTCTGACGTGCCCTTCTTCACGTACTGGTGCCCCGGGGCACGCACGCTCAGGACCGGTCCGTCGTCCAGGTCTTCGAGCCCACTGCCGCTCTCCGAGTACGGCTCGCTCGCCGGGAGGTTGTCGAGCTCGGGCAGGTCCGTGTTCTGCGCGCACTTGGAGCACACGCGGACTTTGCGCACGCCCTGGCCCGGGATCGACACCTCCCACTCGGTGCTGCACGCCGACGCGCACACGACTTCGCCGCACTTGCGGCAGCGCGCTTTGCGCGTAATGAGGCCAAACTTGGTCGCGCAGAGGTTGCAGCGCGCGCGGAGGCTCTTGGGCACGATCTCGAGGTCGCCGAGGAACCGCTGGGCCCCGAGTCGCCGCCGCGTGATCAAGCGCGGGAGGTCGGCAATGCTCGACAAGCGCTTCTTCTGGATCGTCATGAAGAGCGACGTGGGGATCTTGGCGTTCCCCTTCATGTTCACTTGGCCGCTGTAGATGACGTCGAGGAAGCCGTGGCGCTCGCTCTCGACAAACACGTAGCCCGTGTGGTAGAAACTGCCGCGCACGAGGCTGTAGTCGCTCAGCTCGGGGCACGCGGGCAACTTGATCGAGTGGTACGACCGCACGTAGCCCCGTCGGCCGCTCACGTCCGTGAACGTGCTCTGGCACTCGACCGTGAGGAAGTCCCGATGCTTCAGCAGCTTTGACGGCATCTCGGACGCAAACCACTTGACCGTCACCTGCGTCACGTGCCCGAGTTTGCTCGCGCCCGCGCGACTCGGACGGCTGCGGTCGTGCGCGCGCCGGTCGTCGTTCAGCAGCGCCGTGTCCGTCAGCGCGTACAGCAGCTGCGCGTCCAGTACGTCGGCGCTCGACGCCGCGAACGCCGCGAGCTTCGCGTCGGAACTCACGTCAAAGAACGCAGCCACTTCCTCGAGCGTCGAGCGGATCGTCGTCGCGCCGCAGCCGTACGTGAGCGCTTCGCCCACGACTGCCTCGGGGTACCGCGCCTCGCCCTTGTACATCTGCACGCCGCGGTGGCCGCCCGCGGCTTCCCACCGCACGGGCCCCTCGTGGTTCCGCGTGACGTCGATGAGCGCGTTGGCCGAGTCGCGCGCTTTCGTCACGAGGTGCTGTTCTTCGCGCGGCGTGAGCGCAGGGCACGGGAAGTAGTGCGGCGGCAGCGGCAGCGACTTGGGCATTCTCGCGACGCAGACCACGACCCACTACGTCACTGTCGGAACGGCTCTCTCTACGGCTCTCTCTCTCTCTCTAAGTCTCTACGTCTGTGTCGATTACTCTGTGTGTCGGTCGGTCTATCACTCTGTGTGTCAGTCGCTGTGTCGGTCAGCTGTGTCTATATATATATGTCTAGAGGGGAATGGGAAATTGGGCGACCAAAGAGGGGGGCGACAGCAGGTGGGGGCAGTAGTTTTCTAGCGAGGTGAGTGAGTGCGTGCACTCGGCCGCTTTTGTTTTCCTCCTCCTCCTTCTCGCACGGCAGCCGCTGTCGTCGGCGTCGCCGTCGGTAGAAAAGAGCCGCACTGGCCGCGAGTCGGTCGTTGGGTTGTCGGGCACCAGAGGCGCTGCGTGGGGAGATGGGACAATGGCCGGTCGGATGCTCTGCGCGAAACGCGACGTGCAGGAGCAGCGCGAGCAGTGCGCTACCAGATGCACGAACGCGCAGCGGGTGTTTGTCGTGCGCTCGTCCGTCTGTCTGTCTGTCTGGTGGTTGGCGAGCGACGTGGGTGGGCATCAATGGATCAATGGACAGCGGCGGCAAAGTGAGTGAGTGAGTGGCCGAGTGGCGGAGTGGATGGACGAAAGTACGTCGTCCATCAGTGAAACATTCGGCTGAGCTCAAGCCGACGACTGCGAAGCAGAGGGAGGAGATGAGGTGTGCGGGCACTTTCTTCTTCTTCTTCTTCTTCGGCCGTCCCGTGATGGCGTCTGTCTCGCTGGGAACGTCTCGGCCGATGAAGATGGACACAAAGTGTACGGACAGGCCATGTGCACGCGGCATCTTCGCCTGCAACTTGCCAGCACTTGCGCTACATATATTGGCCAAGAAGCGCACGCCACGAGCGACGTGCACTGTGTAGCAACGAGCACGCGGGACAAGTACGACACGTAGGGCAGAACCTGTTGGATTGACTGGCGGCAGCGTGAAGCGAGACGCGCAGTACGTGGTGTCGTGTTTAAGCCGGCGCAACGTCTGCTGCAGCGAAGGGGGACACGATGTGGTGGCGCATGTACATGTACATTAGATATATGTGTGTGTGTGCACTGCGAGACGATCGATGGGACGGCCATCCGCGTTCGCAGAAGTCGCGCAAGGGGACGGCGACTCCTGTCTCGAGCAGCTGAGACCAGATGTCTGGACGCCGTCACGATGGGTGGCCCGAGTTTGTCGCGGTGGCAGACGGGCGGCGCGGGGACTCGGACGAACAAACATAAGGTCTCTCTCTCGCCTCTTCTCCTACTTACTTACTGACTGACTGACTGACTGACTGACTGCACTGAACCCTTCCGTGGATCGACCGCCGTTGCAAGCAAAGACCCGCCTATTTATTTGCCCCGCGCCTTTGGTCAGAGTGTGCGCGCGGAGTGATTTGAGTGGTGACGGACAGTCGCGCGCGTCACGCCCGAGGGCGCATAATGATACGTGCGCGACGCGGCAACAGACTGCAAAGTTACCTAACGCTCTCGATTCACAGAGACTGCGCTGCCGCTTACGACGAGAGACACAGCGTGGCATGACGTGCTCGCAGTTGACATTGTCGCAAGGAGTCGGTCCGACGACAGGGGAAGTCGCTTTTTGCAAAGCGCACGTGCCGAGCCGTGCGTCCAGTGGTGATGACGATGGCAATGGTAGTGGGGGTAGCTGCTTCGATCCTTGTTACGTTGTTGCTCGTTCATAAAAGTGCACAAGTCAGGACCGTTTGTGTCGAGTCACGAGACGGCGGCGACCACGTCAAAAGAACGAGAGCAGCGTCTACGGAGTGCGGCTCTAGAGACCCATTGCAATCAGCTCTTCTCTAGTCCTTTGGACACGTTTGTAGGATGACGATAAAGGCCGAGCGTGCCGTGTGACATCATGGCGTTTGTCCGACCGATAAGGCACAGGCAGAACGCGACCAGCGCGAGCTCGGACGCCATAGCTGGTAAGATGAAAAGTGACGGTGCAACGAAGGAAACGCGACCTCAGCAAAGCGCACGAACGTTGGTGTGAGCTAGCGCACCGGACGAGCACGAGGGAGCGATCTGGATCGCGATCCTCGACATCGTCCATTGTCTGCGGCAGCGTCTCCCGTCCGGAGATGGCTTCGACAGCCGAGCCGGCGGCAGAAGCTCGTAGAGACACTATGAGTGCAAACCACGTTATCATATCACCGTTTGCGCTCGCGAATTAGAGCTGCTCGACGTTTGGGCAACCAGGTGCGTATGTGTGTGTGTGACAACCCACTGGTTGGCACGCTCCTGCTGACGCTTGTAAGAGCAACGATACGAATGATGGGAACGAAGGCATTGACAGAGAGCATGTCTTGTCGACGCCCTGTTGTAGCTCTGCCTTAGCGTAGGAGCAAGAGACGAATGTAGCAGCGACGGCGGTGCTTTCGAGTAAGTACTCTGCCAGTATGTGCTCCGCAGAACTTGCAAGAGGATACCGAATGCATTGAGTAGCATCGTTTGTCCGTAGTAAGGCGTATTGCTGACAGAATACTATCGGCAACACCGCTGAAGTAATCACAACGACACAGTTGGCCTTAACCTATTGGTATACAGCAACGACAAAGTGAGTGCGCACGATAGTACGTACATTTGGGAGTCGAACAAAGGGCTTTTGCTAAACTTCGTTAGGCAGTGCACCTCAAAGATTCACAACTGTCGATACGTCGACAACTCAACTTGTAACAGAGTCCTCCGAGACATGATATTGACATTGGCAAATAATGATGGAGAATATTGACCGAACGGATGACGGTTCGTGAATATTGATCTTGACAGGCAATATTGTGGCGTCTCTCCCTATTGGTTGATATATGGTCATTTTTATCAACCTTCAGCACGTCCAAATAATGTAAGGACGCGCGCAATGGGTTGTCAGCATTTATTTACATGTATCTTCGCATGCTTTATGGCTAAGGCAAGTTGAAAAAGACACTTTAATAAGAACACTTGATTATACTACAGGATTACATTACTGTACTACACTTGTTCCCCCCTTCATCTAATTCTTACGTTAGTTGCTGAGTACGCTTCTTCTACAGTCTCGAGGGTTCGTGTGGTTTTGTGCCTGCGTCACACTTCACGATGGTATTGAATAGCTTATGCCGTAAGTAGTATAGCGAGGTGCCCCGTTTGACAACTCGAAATGCCTACAACGTCCGACGTGATCAAAGCAGTTTAAATGTTCACGATTTGGCGTCGTCTTTTATTAGAGGTTTAGATTTTGGTAGCACCCTCCTACAAATTAGGAAACATCGAAGTAGCCTGTCCACAGTGCGTTAAAAGGTAAAGAAATAGAGGACCGGTTTGGTAGAATGCAAGGTAACACTCTCACCACCCAACGAGGTATCTAAAATCGTAAATTCAAAAATTACTCTAGTACGGAGCCAGCTTTTTCGGAGCAATGTATTCTATAAATTACTTTATGAAACTCTTAATCCTCAAGGAATGCTTCGCCTCGTATTATGCCATGTGCGCCGCGGCTGACCGTATTTGTTTGTCACGCCCGTTGTTCCAGTCAATCTTATCCATTGAATAAACTTTAGATGGTAATGTATAAATATATTCAAGTAGCATCATCGTTATTCTTTGCGGAGTATATACCACAGAAACACACTTTAGGTGGTGCAGTACACATAGTTTAAGCCGCATCAGTGCTCCTCTAAGCAGTGATTGAAATAGGGCACTGGAAGCCACACACTGACAAAAGTTCCTGGCAAGCTCTCACTGACTGCAATGAGAACTTGTGCCCTTATTAGATTGCGTACACTGTACGCGTTTAGAGGCAGACGTAGTACTAGACAGCTAACTTTAGTAAGGAAAAATATAACTTTATTATGATACTCAAGTCCTAGATTGTGTCTAGTCCTTCTAGTCCTAACTTAACTATGCTTAATTTATAGCATGTACAGTGACGTCTACTAACCACCCATTGAGCGCGTCTAGCAACGATTGGTGGGTTGATGTAATGGTATAACAACCAATGAGTATACCTTTGGATCACTGCAACAATATCACTGAACTTAGCAATTGTGTAAGAATATTATGCATCATATCCTCTATAATCGCATTTTCACAAATGGTAATATTATGTAACAGGCTCACCCCGTTACATTATTTGATTGCAACAATGGTCCGACATAAACAGTAAATGTAAACCGCAAAGTCAATGTCCCACCAAATGTTTGTCATGTAATCGAAATATTGAACGTCGTCACAGACGATGTCACGTGCCAAATCTCGTATGATAGAAACACGTACGATTGACTTGTATAAACCGTGTGTATTGTATACCTAAGTCCGAACTGAACATCTCACATGTGACACAAACGTGTAATATAACAAAATCTATACCTAATGTTATACCGCTGATGAAAGTACAAATTGCGCTTACGCACTAAAAAAGCCGAATCTAGTCTGTATCTTCAAATCAGATTCGTGTATAAAGAAGACAGATTACGACGCTGAAGTTTAAGTCCATAAAAATTGTTTGGGAAAAGCCCCGCTTAAATATCCTCCCGAATATATATAATGGAATTAAGGTTTTGCTCATTGACGGATTACCAATGTTGACGAAGTAGAGCCTTGTTTAGCGGGTGATTAATGCTGGAATATGGAACGACTTTTCATGCGCGATGAGGTGATACATCTTGAGGGACTCAATAATTTGTGTCGCGCGACTAGAATAGTAGTGGGAAACATCTGATCATTACTGAACCCTTGTGAAAAGACTTTAGTAGTCATAAAGCAGCAATGAATGGAGCGAACAAAGGACCTCTACTGGAACAATCTTTTTAGTGCCCAACCACTTAATATCAATTTTACGTAACGGGGCAGCCCGTTACATGGAAATTGTCATTTGAGAGATAATGACAATAAAGTATATAATTTTGGATATTCCTATAACAATATCACCAATAGTGGTGATATTGATGGGTCGACCAAAGAGTCTGTTCATTGGTTGATATCTTGA